AAGGTTCCAATTAACTTGATTTAAATTTTTAGTATTTTAATAAACAATAGTTTGTTTCTTACAATCTTAACAATAATTTAATGTTTTATTCCTCGCAATCATAATTAATTTCAAAAATGATAAAATTATTATTAAAATTAATCATTATTCAGTTGAGTAATTTCATCTATCTGAAACTGGTAAAGACCAGATATATGTATGAACTGAAGAAAACATAATTGAGTAGTCCATGTTATACACTGATAACCTATTTTATCTGGAACTTGTGAACCCTCTTTTGCTGACTATAAGAAACAAAAAAATACATTTAATTATAATTCTTGTAAACATATATTTTTAAGTAACTGTAACATAGCTATTGCAAATTAAGTGTTATTTATTTATTATGATAACGCTTTGGAGGGTAAACAGTTTGTTAACTAACATAGTCAACATAATATGTGTGCAGTTATGTTGTATAATGTATTATGTACAAAGTTGAGGTAATTTCTGGTCTATAGACTTTAACAATACTAGATGAAACGTTGAGATATGATTTTTAATAAATTGATGTTATAATAAGCTATTAAATGTTTATTAAAATACAACAGGGGCGTAGCGTGCATGTAAGCACTGTAAGTACTGCTTACACTTTAAATTAAAGAAAAAATAAATTTGATCAATCACGACTAATAGGTACATAATAAATGATTTTTAAAATTTAATTTTATTTATAAGTATTTAAGTTATAGCTGGTAGTGGTTTTTGTTATTGTTTATTTGTGTCGTACGCTGTCTACTGATTACCAACTATTTTAAGAAAATCATCGATTGTAGGTCTATTTTTAATCCATTCTGTATTATGTTAACTGCATAATCATAATACGATATACAGTGTAACACATTCTGAAATTGCTTACGCGCAACTGTTGTTTTCGAATAGTCTATAATGCCATAGTGGGGGTCACGTATTTAACTAGCGTTTGTAAGCACATTTGATTTTGCTTACGCGAGAAACAAGGAGCGACCAGTACGTAGCCCGACGCGTTGTAGACTGAGGTCGTTTTTACGTACACTGTCACTGTCATTTGCCTAATAGACTTTTGAAGTATTTATACTTCAATTTCTTTATTTTCTCGAATTGGATTTGTACAACTAGTATATTTTTAAAAATATTAAAAACTTTAAAATGATAATATTTTTTATACATAATTTAAAATTAGGTATTTAGGTATAGTACCTATATTCTAATCACTTTTGAAAAAAAAATGTCACTGCTTACATCTTTTTAATACCCACGCCACTCCACTGAAATACAACTTGTAACAGTTGTCGGGTTCTAGGTATTAGGCTTAAATAATAATACCAGTTCAAGTTCAGGTATATAATTCGGAGGCAATTTATAAACATGGATTTTAGGTACAATAAATAATTTATGCATGACGTACTTACAGTATCAGTTAAAGAAGAAATATAAGTATTAAGTAGGTATTTTAGGTACCTACCTACCTAATTTAGATTCTGATTGGAGCGATGATTGTATTGATTTTACAATGATATGTTTTAATTATTTTATTTTATTTTTATGTCATCACATTTTGGTGCAGTAAAAATGCTTTTCTGGTATTAAAAAGAATCTGGTTAGTGTTTTGGAGAGTCAAAAGTAAAAAATTCCCATAACTTTTCAAAAACATCAAGAAAAAGAAACCAGCAATTAAGGAAAAACTAAGATTTTTATGCAAAACCAGAGAAAAAATCAATTTCGTGTTTTGGTGTAACTCTAAAAAATAAACTTAGATACATTAAAATGTTCAAAATATTTTGGAATTTTTTTAAGCTATTTAATTTGTTTAAACATACGAAAATGTTGTAGTAATAAAAAATCAAATCTATGGTAGATTGTTATGGTACTTACAATCTTTTGTTATGGTACCTACAAAGTTATAATTTGTAATCATATTATATCATCATTAATAATGTATCAATAATATTCTATCCTTTGGTAATATTGTTATTTATACATTATTATAGGTATGTAAGTATATACATACTTAGTATATGTAATTTATTATTTACATAATTTTATACTTGATAGTTAATAGTATAATAATATAAACAATTTGATAGATACTCTTCTTCGGTAATAAAGTATAAAATTTGAAATTATTATCTCAAATTTTTCTTTTTTCATTTGTTTTTATGAAGTTCCCTAAATTGATAGATGTCCTCAAGCACTTGTTCCCTTTGCCCCCCTCTTAGGACGACTATGATTATATTGTAAATAAAAAATTTAGTATTAAGGTACACAACTTTTGTTCCTAAATTAAATATTATGTTTACAATTTTCACATAATTGCACATTTCAATAGAATTTTATTTAGTATTTTGTGTCATAAAGTTACCAGCTATGTCCCAAAATGAATCATATCCAATTGTCAGAACACTGAATTTCCAAACTTGTTACGTGTTCTTTGAAATTTATGATCAGATATTCAGATGCTCCGTGCTATTAAAATTGGATACTGGTTCCGCAATATATGTATAACCTATAAATTAAAAGTTTGTTAAAAATATGTCATTACACTATTTGTATTCTCTCTGACCTATGAGCAACATAACAAACTTGTGTACTGTGTAGAGCAGATCCAATTTTTAAATGTTTGCTTTAATAAACATAGAGTAAAAATATTGTGACGACGTCGGCACTGTAAGGCGTTGGTCACTCCCCACCAAACCGACGGTCGGTTTCGCACGGCCGCTACGGTCTAGCCGCCGCCCGGGCCGACTCTTTTCTCCTTCGATTTCGTGACTGTACACACGTACGCGCTACCTGTTGGCTGTTACCGTTTTCCACACACGCGAAACCTCGTGACCAACGTTGTCTGACTCGTATTGTTAACGCCTACGTTCCATCGCTCTAACTGTATTATTCAACTTGTCTTCGCTCTCTTGTAATAAATAACCAAAGGATCATCCACCAAACTGTTTTGTTGTTCTTTGGTAAAATTAGTCACGATTACGTGATCTGTTGGAGTCAGCCGGCACCAACCGCGCCGACATCTCCACATTGGTGACCTCGACGTTGTTTATTTTCTAAAGGTATATTTATTTATATATATTATATTTATTTTTTGTGATTTCTTAGTTATTTTTTAGTTTTAATTATTTTACTTTCTTAATACTAAAATTTACTTTATGGATTACCAAAGTTCGGTTCTTTTATTTTCTGTAAACCATATAGGTAGATACTAGATAGCCCTTTAGTGATATCGATAATCGAATGTAAACAAATCAAATATAACTTATAACTCGTAAGTACTAATTCAATTATTATTTACAGTTTACATGTTCAGTTTTCACGATAGCTCTTTTATTCTATTTTAGTACAGTAGATATTTATTATTTAGTAGGTATCGTGAATTAAGATATTTCAGTAGTAGTAAATAATAGTTCATGGTAGGTATATAATATAAATTAATAAATTATATAATGAACCACTGAAACGATACATCTCTAGCATAGGCGTGCGCAGAGTTTAAGTTCGGGGCGTGCCCGTGGAAAATTTGAATTATACATTATACACACATAGACAGAGTATAGTATAGATATTATAAAAAAAAAATAGAGCAGAAACAAGTCACATTTTTTTTATTATAACTTATTTATTAATTATTATTGGTTACTGGTTAGTTTAGTTAGTATATAATTATAATATTTACAGATTCATACGTATATTTTCTAAGGTATTGAACTCATCGATGACAGAATCCAATTTTATCCCACTTGTCAACTCTTGTTCGGTGAATAGTAACAGTAACGAATCTAATCGTTCCTGTTTTATCGTACTCCTAAGTTTTGATTTTACAATTGTCATTTTGGAAAAGACTTGTTCGCATGTACAACTTGTGACTGGGATAATAGTAAATAATTGTAAGGTTTTATAAAAACAACCGTAGGTAGAAATACTATTGTTAGTTTTCAGCCAATCAAGCCACAAATAAATGGACTCACTAGATGTAGCATTAGGTTTATCAGATTTTGGCAAATGTTTTAAAATTTTTATTTCAGTTTTTAGACCTGTACTTGATGTATTTGAGAACTTAGCCCAAACATCAATCATTTCAGGTTTTATTTCCATGTGTAGCAGACTAGCAATAGCTTCAATTAAGCTTAAAGTTTCTTGATTGAATCTTGAATCCATTGCCGACAATAAATCACCAAGTAGTTCATAATAAACTGATATCTTCATTTCATCTAATTTATTTAAAAAAAAAAAATGAGATTTAGATTTGTTATCAATTTGAGTCGATACTTCTCTACGAATAACGTCTGGAACAATTATTCCATGTTTTTTACATAAAGCAACTGCTTGTTCAAAAATATTTTCAAATTCTTTGTTTTCATTTCTCATACTTTTAAGATTTAATGTTAAAGACCGTACATTATCAATTGCCAACAAAGGATTTAGTTTTGGTGATTGAAGTACTGAGCTAACTTTTAAAATAAGATTTAATATTGGATGCATCATAAACATGCCAAAAATGAACTCAAATCTTTTTTATGTATTGTTGTCATGGATGAGGATGACTTGGTGATACCCCAGTTCTCCTGTACTGATAAGCATGTTTGAGACATAGGGCGCTTCGGCCCTTGAAAAATCTCGGGGCGTGCCTGGGCACGCCCTGTGCGCACGCCTATGATCTCTAGTTTATTTGTTTTTACTCGAAAAAATATTAGATACTTTCTAGCTTCTATTCAATCATGAAAAAAATTTAGTGTTTAAGACTCGTATCTCTTGCAGTCTCTGTTTCAAGTATCCAAGTATCTGGGTGTAATTGATTCTGTTTGTAAATTATATTTAGGTATGTATTTACTATTTGAGTACCTACAACCCCAGAGTTAGATTTGTGACATAATTTGTATCTCCATCTGTGTAGAGGGTATACCATAAACACATTAAACATATAATGCATTATTTGTTTATTAATTTGTGATTTGTGTTTTCTAGACTACAAAACAAAGATGGCCTCATCAAGTAAAAATTTGGAACCACATCATAGCAGCGCTGAAGCAAAGGAGGAACAGAGGCGTCAACTCAAATGTATAAACAGGAGTTGTAGAAATGTTGATGCCCTGGTTGATGCGAGTGAAATAGTGTGCCATTACTATGACGTTGATTACAAGCCTGGCAAAGAGGTAATTGATATTGTTTATAGCAAATTGAATGTTACACATAGGTAGTTTAATTTAAATTATGGTGGTTTGTTTAGGTTTGCATGGCGTGTTTTAAACAGTGTCATCAATATTATCAAAATATGGATAAGAAATGGGAGGAGATGTTTTTTACGGCGGAATCCACTTCCCCTTGTTTCGATTCATCGAGCGAAGAAGAAGAAGAAGAAAAGCAAAATCCTAGTACTTTTAAGGTAGATTTACCTCCCGACCCAGAAGTTAAAAAAGCCCTTGAAGATGAAATTGAAAAAATTTTTCATAAAAACAATCATTTCTTTGCCCATAAAGCTGAATTAACCAAAGAGTATATTGATAAAAAACTACCGGAATGTAATGCTAATGGGGAATACCTTGATAATTATATTGAGTATTTAGAAATGGAATCATTAAGAAATACAGTATATAATAGTTTAAATCAACCAATTGTAACGAGCCGCGTAGAACCTGTGGATATCAATGAGTTGGAGGATCGTTTGCAAGAGGAACAAGAAGAAAACAATATGCCTCAAAAAGAAATAAATAAGCTTAAAACCGAAATTGAAATGCTAACATGAAAAGCCTGTAAAAATGTAATGAATTAATATGTTAATTAAATTTTATATATTATTCCCATGAAATTATTGTAATTTATACTAATTTAATTGTAATAAAATATTTTTTATTGATTTTTCATATTTTTAGAAAACAGTTTTACAGTTATTTTAGTAAGACAAATAGTTAAGTAGACACCCATGCATTTGTTGTCTCCATCTTACATACGTATGCAAATTTTCATTCACTAGTATTAATTGAGTGAATTGACCAATTATCAAACTCTTAGGTAAGAACATCTGTTCTTAAGCGTCGGAGATTTTTCAATATTTTAGTTTTCAAACAAGATATTATCGGTACCTATATGAAATATTACAAATTAAAAATGCTTATATCTCACTTAAAAACTAGAATATTGATAAATTACCAACGTTTAAGCACAGAAAATGTTCTTACCTAAAAGTTTGGTTAAATAACACAGTTGTGGTGGCAATCATTGTGAGCTACCAAAATTAGTATTTCTGATTACGTTTGAGCGAGTATCGAGAACTAATTATCAAAAATGTTGAGATAAACTAATAATACACTTTCAGTTATGGTGTCTCGGTCATGTTATAAAGCGGCGATTTGTGAATGCGGGTCTCCCTCGATAGCTCTCGGCTTGATGAGACTTCAATGGGCACCTTGACGAGCAGTAGAACCCCCTACACTGCAACGATAAACCCTTATCTATTATGGGTTATACACATAGACATATTAATAAATATATATACCTACCTAATATATTTAAAAAAATTCAAATACTCAAAATTGAAATTTCTTGTAACTACTAATTATCAATTTTTGTTATCTACCTAAATGGTTTTAAATTGATTATAATGTTTTTTACTCCATGATATGTAATTTGTTCTTTTGTGACCATCTTAAATTGTATGCTATTTCTTTCTAACAATGTTGGTATACGAACCTCTCTTTCTACGATCAGTCCATTAATTAATATGTCTATGGTTATACATAAACATTTTTACTAAAAAAATATACATTGACAACTAAAATCAATCATTTCGGTTTTTTCAAAACAAAAAAGGACCCTTTTTCCAACCCAAATCTTACGAATTTCGAAACTAGTTCAAATGTAGGTATACACTCTTTCGAATTATTTTCTTAGTAGGGCTTAATACCATCATACCAATCAAGTAAAATACTATGATGAATAACACTTGTTGCGTAAGTATTTTTATGAAAGGTAATATAATCTTAGTCTTCATAAATCATAACTCACTACCTGATGCTATTAAAATTAAATAATACAACAACTTACATACCACTACCGACATATACATATTATAACTCTTGCATGTGCATGGGAAAAACACAAGCGTTACCAGTCACCGTCACCACCAACGAAACCCCATTCGACTCGAGCAAAACGTATAGTTTCATGTGAAAACGCATGCAACTTACATATCACTCAAGTGACTGACACATATTATATTTTATCAGCGCATACTTACAACAGTCATATCACTTGTATAATATTTTTATTTTACCGTGTGTATACACACAGGCATATCATCTCCGCTGTATATCATTGTATAAGTTAATATATCGGAAAATTAAGAACTTCCCTCATTTCAGTAGATTGGTACTTTATGCGGTTTATTACAAAAATCTCGAAATAGGTACCTACACAATAATTAACGTTACATCTGTAGTATTATAGTAACATTTTTATCAATAAAACATTTATAAATCTTCATATTATTAGTCATTTTCAAAAAAAGCGTATGCTACAATGAGCATATAGGTGGGAACGTACCTACATACATTCTTGTATCTTTATATATATATATAGTATATACACAATACTATTAGGCCAAAATAATAATAATATTAATAATGAATAATATAAAAATACATTGAAATATTGTATGAGATTACATTAGACTAAAATCATAGCTTATATACACATAGGTACATGGATTATAGGTATTTAAGAGAAAAAATAAATCTCTTACTGTTATTATTGTACTATTATTCATCAAGTGCAGTGAGAATTATATATATAGGTATATAACAATAAGTAAAAAATATTATAATCGAACCATCACCTATTTCTACAGTTACATGAACATGTGAAACATATAGTATGATATGCAAACCCACATTAAATCATATAGGTACCGATGTATATAAGTATATTCGACATTACAAACACCTAAACATATTATATGGATTACATAAATATATATATAAGCATATAAACATTCATATATACACATCAATAAGTCAATTACATATAGGCATACACATATTTACATACACAAATACTAGTATATAACCTTACATATTCTTATATAATTAAACAGTATTCATACATACATACGTAAATACATATATGTATATTTAATTAAACAGCATTCATGCATACATATTATTCCAAATAATAGTTTACATAAAATATTTTCGATATATAATTTATTTGATACCTAATTTCTTAAACATATATTAGTTATTATATATTTACAGTTGATAGTGTTGATAGGTACCTACATAAAATCGAAGTCCGTCATTTCGCCGCGATCGTTTCGCCGCCGGACTATTCGCCGCGACCAGTTCGCCGCCATCGTTTCGCCGCGACCAGTTCGCCGCCGTTAATTTCGCCGCCGATTTATTCGCCGCCGTTCATTTCGCCGCCGATCATTTCGCCGCCGATTTATTCGCCGCGATCGTTTCGCCGCCGTTCATTTCGCCGCCATCGTTTCGCCGCCATCGTTTCGCCGCCATTCAATTCGCCACCATCGTTTCGCCGCCGAAACTTTTAAAGTGGTTGCAGCCAGGTTTTTTTTAACGCAAATTTTAAATCTGTTTTCAGATACTTCAATACTTGTAATACTTAGCAACTGTACAACACTTCTCCGCATTTACGATCTAGGACAGATGGACGTAGCCATTTGGGCGTGATGATAATAGGACGTCAACAAATAAATATAATATATAAATCAGTAAATAAAATAAATAAGTTATTTATATTTATTATAATATATAAATTAATATTATAAAATTAAAAATATATATGAAAAATTCAGTCGCGTTCGATTCGCCGTTCACTACACACGCCGTGTCTTTCGTCTTCAAACATTGTTATTTTGTCTCCGTTCACCATTTCCAAATTTCACGTTTTTAATAACGCTGAATGTGGAAAAAATCAACCTTTCACGTGAAAATCTTCAATAAGATTTCTTTTCCAAACTTAAGCCTCAAAACCCAAAAAACTGGTAATTTTAATTAGTTTTTATCAAACTCGTCGAACGGTCACCGGCACGCAGCCGGCGGCTGCCTTATCTGCTGTTTCGCGTTCCGATATCGCGGAATGCCTAATTCAAATAATACACCTATAAATGGAAACAAAAACACACGGAACCTTATCTTCCGACCACGTTCAGACCTACAGAGTGTGTCAAATGACGTATTTTCAGATTCTAATGAAAATGACTCCGACTTCACACTGGTTAAATCCAAACCAAAACGTAACCTCTCCGTTACATCAACCGGTCAAACAACCGAAAAGATTAAAAAAAGCAAGTCAATTTTCGCATCATCTAACAGATACAATGAACTTAATATCGACGATACCGTATCTAACAACACCGGCTCTAACCACAACCTATCTGATATGATCTTGGACACAGAACTACCCAAACCTAAACCGCCTCCACCCATTTTTGTTCGTGGAGTGTCGGATTATTTCACACTTCGTGCCCAATTAATAGAATTACTTGGCGTCAACAACTTCTCAGTTAAATCATCAACCCGCGACTTAAAAATTCAAACTACTGACCCCGACTCTTACAGAGCATTAATAAAATATCTAAAAGATCGCAAAGCCGATTTCCATACCTATCAAGCTCATGAAGACAAACCTTTCAGAATAGCTATCCGTAATATCCACCCATCTACGCCTACATCTGAAATCGGTATAGCGATTGAGGATATTGGTGGCTTCTCCGTCCGCAATGTTGCTAATGTTATAAACAAAATCAATAAAAAAAAAACTTCCAATATTTTTCGTCGACCTGGAACCGGCCGAGATCAACAAGGACATTTTCTCTATCAAGTTTTTACTAAATACCAAAATAAAAATTGAAGAACCTTATAAGAAACGCTCAGTGGTACAATGTATTAAATGCCAAGAATATGGACACTCAAAATCTTACTGCGCCCACGCCCCAAGATGTGTAAAATGTGCCGCCAACCATCCAACTTCCTCCTGTACTAAGGACAAGGACCAACCACCAGTGTGTGCCCTCTGTCAAGGAAATCATACGGCAAACTACCGTGGATGTCAAGTCCACAAAGAATTTCAACGCCTTCACTTCGGAAAAACAAAAACAAATTACAATGCACAAATATCCAAACCTAGTGTAAGTTACAGTCAAATTGTAAACAATGGGGGAGTCTCTTCTTCCGAAACTCAACGTGATCCTCTAAATATTAACGACAATTCGTCCTTTCCCAACCTAACTCACCACCCGCCAAACCAACATCACCTCAAAGACAATCAAAATATTCCTCCAAATAACCCAACTCCCCATTCGGAAATCGCTTCTCAATTATCTTCATTCATAAATGAATTCAAATTAATACTAAACCCTCTTATTTCACTGCTTACAACCGTCATAACCAAACTTATGTAAGTTGGTCTTGCTTAAATGCGACTCATCAATTATAACACTCACGTTGGGTTCCATCAATGGATGGCCTCCCTCTTCATATTATTCATGTTATTTTTTTTTCTCTCTTGTAAACTGTCATCATATTTACTTATTGTACTTAGTTAGTATAGATTGTAAATTTTCAAAATAAAAAAAAAAAAAAAAAAAAAAAATATGAAAAATTATTTATTTTTTTTTTTTATTATTAATATTATAATATGCTCCTAGCCTAGGTTGTCTACATCTAAGGAGGTTACATATTATTGAGCTTGGCTATTTTAATATGATAAAAACGTTTATTTTATAAA